AACCAAAGCCTCCAACCAAATCACAGCCTCCTGTCACCATGGGAACAGAGGGATGGATCCAGGTGTGTGTGTAGTTCACAGATGATAATCTAATTTATTTAATGAATTTAAAAATGCGCTTTTAGAGTCAGGGGGTCGGCAGGTCTTTGGTAAGTCTTGGTATTCCCTCTGTGAACATGGTCTCCTGAAGTACACCTTACATGTTTGGACAATGTGAAAGTGATGTCATTGAAAAAACAGACTCATATTAATCGAGTTTCGTCAGCAGCGGAAATAGAGTAGACAATTTCAAATAAAGCGAAGGCTGTGATTGGTCACTCTGGAACAAAGGGTGGAGGTAATGAACCATCAAGCTTTAAGCCACTCCCCCAAGAACACTGGAATATTCTGCATTGTGGAGACAGGGAGTGAATGAGTGAAGAAGTGAATTCACCTGATTGAAGTTTGTATGTCAGATTTCAAATGAAGACAGTAAGCGACCTTTGTGACGTGTCATCAGAGGAGTCTGAAGAGCCTGCACCAATCAGAGTCCTCTTTGACTCTTCTGTTGGCTCTGATACGCTGAATCCTTCTCCAGTTTTTAATTTCATAAACGATTTAGAAAACTGCCAGAATCAAAGGATGAATGGTCACATGTTTCAATAACTGTTTGGTGTTGGTCTGAGCTCTTCTCATTGGACTAAATCTTTACTCTTGGTTCATAATATTTTATTTTAGTCTGACGTCCACCAGGGAACTTTTGCCTTCTTATTGCCTTCACACATTCACAACTGAACTAGTGCACAACTAGAACAAGAGTTTATCAGAATCAGATTTATTGTCCAGGTATGCTTACACACACACAAAGAATGTAACTTCAGTGAACTGTGCTCTCTTATGTTCAGGTACAACATTAAATATCAACAATAAACAGAATAAGAAAAGACTAATATTTACATGACTAAATATGAAACAGTGCAGTGGTGAATAGTGCAAAGATGCTGAAGTAACATGATAAGTAAAATGCAGTTATGTGACAGATGAGTCAATTAACTGTCAATTACTGTATTTACATAAAAGTGTGTGTAGATTGATCATTTAAATTAAATAAATATACAAATATGTATATTCACAGCTCGCCCATTTAAAAAGACATCACGTCAGCATGTCTGTTCTTTAAGAAGACGTTGAAAGACCTGATGGAGCTCAGTGAACGACCTCCGCTGCACGTTCATGGTGCTTCATCTGAATCAACATGAGCTCTGCCTCAGAGAAACAGATCTTTGGTATGACCATCTATTCTGCTTTTCTGTTTCTAGTGATGCGTCGTCCACAGCCTCTCTTTGAGTTTTCATTCTAAAATGGTTGAGCTGCGTCTGCACACACTGTTGTAACGTTTTTATTTTTACACAGTCACAAGTGAACAAGTGAACACCAGGACTCTGACTCTGCTGTTCTTTTTTTTCCATGTTATGTCTTGTATGTGCTTTCAATGTGGCCTCTATGATTATTCTTTTCGTTGTCGCCCAGTATTGTCTTTATTGCATGAACTGCTTTGATTGTGTGTGATATGTTGTATGTCTATTTTCCTTTTGCTTAGGCCTGTTGTAGTTACAAATGTAATGTATTTTATTGTATTTTAATCTTAACAGTTGCATTTTAGGTTGCCTACTGACAACTGGCCGGGACTACAGCTGGAAATTAGCCGTAAAGGCTAAAGCTGCTTCTTTTACTGTACAGTAAATTAAAGGGGACTGTCCACGAAACAATAAACAAATAAACTAAAACTTAAACTAAACTAAACTTTTTTAAATCAAAATCAGCGTTTCTTGTATTTTTACACACTGAAACATTGAACTGTCTACAGACCCAGCTGGGGTTCCCAGAAGTTGTTTTAAAGTAAAACATTTGACTAGTCTGACCTTTCAAAATAAAAATAACAATTTAAAATCAAGTATCCTGGACGTGATGAGACTCTCTGCAGTCTAACATCAGATCTACACATTCAAATGAATCCAAAGAGTCTGTTCTTCAAATCAACTGAAACTTAATTCATTTCTACTGTTTATGAATTGAACATAAACCACTGAAGAGGATCAGATTTAAGACTGAACAACAAGGGGGTCCGTGGACCTGCGTGGACCTGGACTACAGCGTCAGACCAAATCCTCAGAATAATCCTCATTATAAATAATAATAATAATAATAATCATGATGTTCAGGTAGTTACCTGCGGGAGTTTGGGGTCGTTGATGTCCCACGTGAACTTCATCCCGACTGAACACACACAGTCCGCCTCCTCGCGCTCCTCCGCACGGGACATCCTGCTCACGGTCCTAACCTGGTCCCGGTCCTGATCAGTCCTCTCTTGAGGGTTCTGATGCGGATCGTTCCTGTTCGGTCTCAGGTGAGATAAAGGTGAATAAAAAGTTTCAAAGTGAAAAAACTTTAAAGTGTTCAGAGCGTCGGCAGCACGTGCAGCTTCGCTCACCGTCAGGTAGTGTGTGACAACAGGTGAGAG